GGACGGAGACGGAGCTGGCCTGCTAACCCGTAAGTCTCGAGTTCGAATCCGGGTTCAAGTCAGTAGACTGTCCCTGAGTCCACCCAACTCTGACGGGTACCTAACTCACGTTAGGGAAAGTAAAGGCGACTGGGCATAGTGCTGACCACACTATCTCTTCATATGCCGAGGTCACAGAAACAAGTGAACTCTACTTCACTTGCCCCATAGACCGTCAGGTTTGAAAGGGAAACTTACTTTTTACACATCACTTGGATTCTGCAATGTGGAATCGTCTCGGGCACTGAGACAGTAAGCTTATGGCGTGCCACCTTGGGGCTTTTTTGTTTTATAATGGAGTGGTCCCTCCCCCCCCCCCCATAATCTACAATTGTTCTAGAATAAAACTTTGTCTAAAATGAATGGTAACACACCATTTATATTAGAAATGAAATATTACTTGCTTTGTTTTTAAAACAATACCTTATGACCAGTTAATAATATGTTCAATATATAAAGTGGTCTTCTAAAGTTTTACAAATGAATACAAAGATACTTTTTTATTTTACTAATAGAAATCACTTATTTCTCTACTTCAAACGCAAATAACGCCCAACCTACTAATTTCTGAATATATTTAATTACATACTGATTTTGTATTATATTATAATTCGTTCTTTTCATCAAGAACTGCACTACTCATTTACTTAGAAATGTTAGTTGAAGCCTACTTAGTGATTAAGGGAAAATATCTCTTTAGCCTTAATAAAGAAAGTAATTTGTTATTTTTGCTTCCAATGATCGCCAATAAATTTGATATGATGTCAAGGGCTATAATTGCTAACTTTAAAATATTTAAATTAACGAGTCGACCCGCGGCGTATCATAGGTCACTATTTAGTTGTTTTATTTTCTACTTTCAGTAATTCATAATTTGTGAATTCGACAGTACCAATGCTGCCACTGAAAATTTTTGCTTTAAAACACTATCAGTAACCCCCCCCCCATCCACCTTTCCCCCTACCCTACCCCCCCCCCATGTGTCGAATTCACAAATTAGGAATTACTGAAAAGTAGAAAATAAAAAACTAGATAGCGGCGTACGATACGCCGCGGGTCGGCTCGTTGTAAATATTTAGCGTGAACCACAGCTCAACAGACCATGTGGGGGTGGGGGTGGTAGGGATATGCTTGGAGAGGAAGAGAGGGGGCTGGTAAGTAGATTATATTTTATTCATGGATGTTCACTGAGGCGAGGTCGAGCCAATGCAACCATGCTTGCTACTTGCTAAACTAAAAAGTCTCTAGTACGAAACCCCGGGCAGATAAGGCTCGATAGTTATCGAACTATGGGGTCAGCGACCCATAAGGGAGAGATAACTCCGATATCAAACTCTGGTTTCCTACAAGCAGCTACTGTGACACTGTTGATGCCAAGTCGTATGGGTAGCGCCGTTCCCATGGATCCATCAGATGTGTGGAGAGAGAGGGGGGGGGGGCTGATAAACGTGCAACGTCTGCCTCTTCTCAACTGCACAGGCTTTGCGCCTTGATTTCTGAAGCCATTAGAGCAATTATATATTTATATAGGCCTTCTCTCTATATATGCTTACTTTTATACCTATATATAAGTATGTGTATGTGTGTTTTTAAGTATTTGTATGTGTGTAAAACCAATCGTATGTCCGGATGTCTCAAGTAGATATGAAATGAACGTGTTTGTCACAAAAACCTTAAGCACAACCCAAATTTATACAGCAGTGGCGTCGCTAGGTCGGGTGTCACCCGGTGCGGCACTTCGTGGCGTCACCCCCCCCCCCCCCCAGAAACAAAGTATATATGTGTTTGTGTATCAGCCAACATAGGCCTAAAATTTAATATACGCCACATACGCGTACTTATATGCTTATAAGTTTGAATCACTGCAGACGTAATAGCAGGGGCGTAACGAGGGGGGGGGGGGATGCAAATCGAAAACTTGAGGGGGGGGGGGGTGCAAATCGAAAACTTGAAAGTTTGTCCCCGGGAAGGGTCGCAACGCCTCGGGGGTGATGACACCATTAAGTGCCGCACCGGGTGACACCCGACCTCGCTACGCCACTGCGTAATAGTAAAGATGTTTATCTATAATTTGTTAATATTATAGTTGGATGTAGCACTGTTTTCTCTGAAGTTAGTACGATTACGTCATGGTGCCACCATGTACTTAAAAGACTATTTAACTTTAAATAATTATTAATTGAACTGGCAAAAATTACATTTTTTTTGTTGTAAATTTTGCAATTTGTTGCCTTGGTGTTTCCCGGTGCGGCTCGCACCTCCGATACGCCTCTGCACTTTATACTTGGGGTTCATCTTTTGCATGGATTTCGAAATGTACTTGGTCATATATGAAAAATATAAATTCGACGAGGACTGAAAACTTACCATTAACTAATAAAAAACAACCCCAAAACACTGCATTAAACTTCACGTGGTCGTAGATAGAAAACACAGGAAGCTAGGATTATTGCCCTATCGGAACAATTTGTTTTAGTTTTAGGGATATTTTTATTCTATACACCAGGCTCATCTTTTGCATGGACCTCGGTAATTCACTCGGCCATCGACCAGAGGCGTAGCGAGCGGGGGGGGGCATATATCCCCGGGCGCCGACCTTAGGGGGGGCGCGCCAAATGGAAAGTTTGAGGGGGGGGGGTTTGCAAATAAAAAGCTCGGTGGGGGGGGGGGTGCTAATCGAACGAAAGTATGGGGGGGGGGGTGCAAATGAAATGTTCGAGGGGGGGGGGGGGGGGGTGGTGCAAATCGAAAGTTTGTCCCCGGGCGCCGGGAAGTGTCGCTAAGCCTCTGCCATCGACATTAATAATGTGGATCCATTATGGAGCGTAGGTACGCAAACACGCCTCTCCGTCGTACTAGGGTTTGGGCGATTCCTCTTTGTTTTAAAAATAAATTCAAATAATAATAGTGGTGTCATAAGCAGAGTTTCTTCCAGGCATCTCTTCGGGGGGGGGGGGGGGGATTGGGGAATTTTTTTTACCCCTCCCCCCCCCCCCCGAACGAAATGAAATTTATATAATTTATATAGAAAATATATACTTTTAACAGTGTCCGCACCACCGAAGAAAGTCTATCGCCCCCTCCCCCCCGAAAATTTCAAGTGCCCCCCCCCCCCCGGAGAAAAAAGTCTGGAAGAAACACTGGTCATAAGGTGGGGGCTGGGCCCTAACCTGGTGACACCATACCGAAAAAGTTTATTATTTAAACATTGTTTTATCCAGCTGGATATCAGAATATTATGGTGAGAGGGTGACACCAAAATAAAAAAATGCTAAATTGTATGAGGGCCGAGGACTAGCCTAGTGACGTCACTGGTTCGGCCTACAGTCTCGACACGTTATACGGATTGCATTTACAATTCGTGCATTAAATAGAAGAGCATGGTTTTTTCACAGTGGGTCTTGCCTGTATGACAAGTAATTCAAGTATGCATTTACATTTCTTATGTCTTAGTTCATCACTAACTCTGCTGAAATAAACCGGGAGTGATCTCCCCTAAACTTTCTCTAATATTCTTATATAAAATAACAGGGGATGGGAACTCGGGCTATAGACATGATTTTTAATCCATTTTAAATACTTAAAGTTTTAAAAATAGAATAAAATCTCCTAGACAAATTAATTGCACACCAAGTGAACGCCAAATAAAAAAGCGCATAATAGTGCGCAATATTATTAGTACTTTTAAAATTTACATTAGTTTTTTGAGAAATCGGAAGTAGCGTAAATTACTACTTCCAGTCAACGGAAATTACTCAAAATTTAACAGAAGGTAGAGAATTAGATCTTTTACTTACATGTGAAATTTCATTTATCTATCTGAAATAGTACTCAAGTTATAGGCTTTTGAAAAATTCAAAGTAGGAAAAGTACCACTTCCGGTTATCGGAAATCGCTCAAAAGTTGATACGGATCTACGATTTTGATAAAATACTTATATATGAAATTTCATTAACCTAGCTGTAACGGTACTCAAGTTATCGTGTTTACACACGGACAGACAGACACACAGACATACGGACAAGATTGCAAAATTATGTTTTTCCGTATCAGTTAGATGTAAAACGTCGATTTTTTTTTTGCACGATTACAATACTTTCTCTATACTTCGTATATACGAGAAAGTAAAAAGTAAAAGTTGTAAAAAATGTGTCATGACTAGCCTTTATAAAAAGAATTAGAATATTATCATTCAAAGATTTTGAGAAGAGCGAACTAGGTCAATAATTGCCGCCAAAAAAATCTGGTTAAACATTTTAATTGATAATTTTTTTTTAAAATGATAAGATTTTGATCAGTATTAGAATATTTAATTAGCTCTAGGTTAACATTAGAGTCTGCAATTAAAACCTGACTTTATATTTCTTCCTTTGTCAACAATGGGTTGACTTTATTAACGTCCATCAATGACATCACAGTTCAAATTAGTTAATAAACTTACATGGACATATACGTTATTATATATGTCAAAAATAGGTAACATTAATAATGTTAACAAATTTGAATTGTGGGATGGCGTGGTCGGATAGCAGATTGCTTAATTGCTCATGTAAGTAAGGTCTCCTTTCAAACATGACAGTCTATGGGGCAAGTGAAGTAGAGTTCACCTGTTTCTGTGAGCTCGGCTTATGAAGGGATAGTGTTGTCAGCACTATGCCCAGCCAACTTTGTGAGTTAAGTACCCATCAGAGCTAAGTTGACTGATGGTCTACTTGAACCCACATACTTACGGGTTAGTAGTCTAGCTCTCTACAACCAGACCACTCTGTCCCTTGATTGTTCAGGGAAATGGGAATTTTTCTTATACTTTACTTTTATGTTACCATATATATATAAATATAGGCATATATATATATATATATATATATATATATATATATATATATATATATATATATATATTTATACATACATGTATACATAATTCAAAAACTTAAAAGACAATGGATGTAGATCAGGCAAGAATAATGTTTACTACATCAACATAATCAACTGCAACCAGATGTTTAGACTAAGACTGATTGGCAAGCTATCTACACCAGAGATTGGCAAATAAACTTTAATAATTTATTTTAAATGAACTTTAAAGTAACAATTTTGAACAAGTCGTAAAAAACATTCCTAATACATTTAGCCATTAAAAAAAACATTTGGTTAAGAAAAAATGTAACATTTTTTTTATTATACATGAAAACAGCATTATAAAGTAAATTGAGGATAAAAAAAACCAACCAATTTTAACAGAGAAAATAATTTCATCACAAAATTTAGAAAAGGGACTTTTTTTTTTAGTAATGAATTCATTTACTAACAGTTTAGCTCAGTTTTTTAACTTTTCTATGAACTGCTATGTTGAAACCACCAATCTCATTACACCCCTGATGATGGTAGTATAAATATGGGCTAGATATACCATCAGTCATATCAGGGATGCACACTAGTGCCCCCAGGGACCCCGGGCAGGTGTCAGCAGTGTAGATAAATCTGACCCCTTCATCGACCGAATCTTGTTTTTCCACCCATTCGCCCACGGATACGTGTTTACAGTATCCATGCGGATGAGAGACAATGAAAACAATTTTGTCTTGCGTTGACAATTGCTTAAACCTAAAAAAATTCTTTTTCCGCATGGCTTGTACATGCTTTTCTGCTTCTTTTAACTTTAAACCAAACTCCAGGTCATGGGTTAGACAAACTACATCAGAATATAGATCAGCGCCTAACCCGTGATCCTTGGCTAACTTTTCCTTTTTCTTTTTAGCTTTTGTAATACTTATCCCCATCCCTTCAAGGGAAACAACTGGGCTTTTTTCTTCATCATATCCCCACCAGCACACAGTGTCCAAAGCATCAGCTTGATCCATCACCAGCATTTTCCCAGTCTTAACAATGACCTCAACCCAATTCTTATAAGGATATGAAGACGTTTTGCAGCTATTACAAGGGCAGGAACCTTTGCACTCTTTTACACTTTTTATAAAACCAGTTCCATATCTGACAGTATTATCTCCTCTTGTTAGGGGTAAGAACTCTGCCTTGTCGCCAAATACCAGTTTTCTATCATGCAAACCTACAGCTACCCTGACAGTAATGTCTGAGACAGCTTTGATAAACTGGACCATTGAACGTTTCTGGTTTTTAGGCAGGTGTTTCAGTGTCAGCTGTTTGATGGGAATAAAATTAGCGTGTCCCGGGTTCTTCAAACACTGGTCAAACTTCTTCTTCGCCCCTAAGTCATTGTCAGTACAAACTTCAACTTCTTCAGAATCTGGAGAAATAAAAAAATTAATTACAATTTTTAGTTGGTACCAAAACTTAAACATACATACAGTAATTTTAATTATTCTTAAGTAAAAAAAAAACCTACACTTATAATATGGGTTTTAAATTTAAATCCAAATGTTCATAATTGTATTATTATTAGCAAGAAAATAACAGATTTGTTCTTATAGCTATCTATGACACTGGCATAGCCAAGGAGGGGGTTATAGCCCCCCCCCATAGACACTCACCTATATATATATATATATATATATATATATATATATATATATATATATATATATATATATATATATATATATATATATATATATATCTATATCTATATATATATTTCTATATATATATCTCTATCTATATCTATCTATATATCTATATATATATATATATATATATATATAGATATATATATATATATATATATATATATATATATATATATATATATATATATATATATATATATATAAAATTTTTTTTTGCCACTGATCTAGTATCCCCCGATGTAACTTGTACAATAGAGATCTGTATTTCTTTATTACTAACATCACGATTAGCCATAAATAGAATTTTACTCCCAATAAGATGTGTTTAGCATCTATACGCTTTTCGTCAAGGCAATACAGCCAAGTAATTAATCTTTTATTATAATGGTGTTGTGTTTAAGTTAGAGAGGATAGCATAAGTGTAAGGGCTAGGGTAAACTATAGCAATACCATTACAAGATTACTTCTATACAGCTCTGCTAGTGATCTAAGAAGTGTTGAAAAATTGAACCAAATCAAGTGCTGGCCTGATAATGCACTGTTCATGTTGCTTTATTGTTAACATCTTATTCTTTTATATGGTTTAAAAATATTCATATTGAATTTAGCAGTGCTATCAGTTTTCATTTGACAAATGTAATTTAGGTGATAGCAGAATAGTCATCAGTAGAAAGATATCTTCTATTTTGTTATATTATACAATAAATAACATAAGTTTAATATTGCTTATTGGGTAGTAAACATAATTGAACAAAATAATGATTTTAAACCTTAATGAATTTTTCTAATAGCAATAAGTTAGAAAATTGTGCTAAAAAATGACATACTAAAGTCTAAGGATAGGAAATCAATATGGCTGTCTGGCTGAATCAACTCCTCTAGATACTTTTGATCTGTGTAAAGATAAAACAAACCAAGATTAGCTGGGGATGGTGTGGTCCAATGGTAGAGCTTATACTTGCTAGCCTGAAAGTCTCAAATGTTCGGATCCCTGGATATAGTCCATAGGACATCCTTGAGTCCACCTAGCTCTGATGGGTACCTGACTCACACTAGGGAAATTAAAATGGCTGGACATAGCACTGATCCTTGAATTCCGACATCACTGAAATATGAACTCTACTTCATCTACCCGACTAGGAGAGGATGATGACAGATTTAAGCTAAAGCTTGTAACTACAACTACAAGTTATTAGTTTTGACTTTGAAATGTTTTTTTTATTGCACTTTCAAATATTTGAATTGAAAAAATGCTGTTTTCAGTTACCTACAATAAGTTTTATTTCTTAACACTTCACACAAAATGTAGCTAACATCAGAAAGTAAAGATTTCACCAGCTAAAACAATGCAATGCCTCAACACTAAAGTGAATGTTGGAGTGGTGTTTTAGTGCTTTTCTCCCGGGGCATCCAAATAGATTTTACAGTGATTAATTCCTAACCACCAATTGTACATCCATAGGCACCAGCTAAGATTCACCAAAACAATTAACATTTTCAATAAAGATTATTCTGATAAGCTCCAAAAGGTCTTTACCAATGAGACACAGCCATGCATGAAGCATAAGCCCAAGCCTATTAAAAAAAAAACAACAACCATGCACACAGTAGTCTATCAAAACTAAGCACAATAAAATTTGCTAATGCTAACACTAAATTCCGAAAAAACAAAACTAAAGAAATGGCATTTAAGTCAAAACATTAAAAAAACACAACCCCATGTTGCACAATACACACATAAAAGTTACCTAAATCTGTGTTGCTGACCATATCATCAGCTTGAGAATCCCTTCGACTACTCCAGCTGTTTGTATCCTACATAATGTAAACATAGTTCAATACACAAGCATCAACTTTTCACACATAATATAAAAAATTGTTTAAAAAATTATTCAAAAGATTATTGCAGATCAGTATAAATATATAAACACATCATAAGAGCATGTTTTAAAAATAATTGAAAAAATAAAAAATAATTTTTTTACTTGTATCTCTACAGGAGCGCAGTCTTGAAAATTTTGGAAAACATTTCCTGCATCTGGCATCAGAAAGTTTATTAGAATACTTTACATGTCATTAATTACTACATCATAATAAGATGGGAATCAGTGCATATAAAAAGTATTAATTACCTCCCCATAACTAAAATGGATCTATTAGTGCACAATTTTAAACATAAGGATAAGCCTCAAGAAACACAGTTACATGGGTGATACAATTTGCTGTTAAATGTGAGTGTGTTTGACTGAGCTAATGTAATGGTGAAAGTGTTTGTGTCTTTGTATGGGTGTGTTGTCTGACTCAGATAAAACAATGTTGACAGTGGTGTGTATGTTTGTGTAGGTGTATCTTTATGTGGGTGGGTGTTTTTATGTGGATGTATCTTTGTATGGGTGTGTTGTCCGACTAAGCTAAAACAATGTAGGAAGTGATATGTGTGTTTGTTTTGGCTGTCAGAGGTTTGTGTCTTGTCAAAGAATAACATCATTATTCTACAAAAGCCAGTTGGGTAAGTTGCAGATATTTTATTTTGTATCTTAAACCTGACCCTATCCATAATAGAAATACATACAACAACAATTAATATGACAATAAAATGCTTAGCAAACAGTATTTAATTACTAGATATTTATTCTAATTGTTATGTTTAAAATAAATCTTACACTTAACCAGTCCTCTTTCAACTACAAAATGAGGTTCAGTTCAAGTAATGATTTGATTTTTTTTTAAATAATAAAAGAAAACATACAGTAAAAGAAATAAGTAAATGTATAAAATGTATAAAAAGGCTTACTTACATAAATTCAACTTTAGCTCAGACAAATCTAATTCAACATTTTTAACCTGAAAAATTAATATTAGCTTATGAGTTATTATACCATAACGTAATGATGGTAGATATTACAAATATATAAAAAACAAACACATAACACTGCCAATGGTATTAAGAAAAAATTACAAGCAATGTAAATTACTAAAAGGAGCTTGAATCACAGCTAGAGCTTTTTACTTAAAGCTAATATCCATTGCAAGCTGTAAAAGTGCTTCAAAAGTCTACACTTAAAAATTCTAAGTAGTAGTGGTAGTTACATAATATACCAATATTGACTGTTTAATAACTTTGAAGACAAGGAAGATGACATTTTAATCAGATCTTAAATAGATACTTTATTTTTGTATACTAAGATGAATTGTAAAAGATAAAAATATTTTAACGATGTACTAAGAATGCTTAAAAGAAATTAACGTTGTGTGTTAATTCAACCAAGTGTATGTGTATGTATAAAGTGTATGTACTACAATAAACAATTCTGAATTCCCTTCAACAACATCCTCTTCCCATTAGTTGATTAAGATGTCCAAAAGTATTTTTTCTTCATCTATTGCTAAACATAAATAGTCCCCTTTAAAAAGATGGTATATATATATATATATATATATATATATATATATATATATATATATATATATATATATATATATATATATATATATATATATATATACACGATTAGAGACAAATAAGATAAACTATAGTATACCAGGAAAAATAAATACTTACTTGCTTTTCTAAATCACAGACTTTGGTATCCATCTGTAAAAATAAATTAAAAAATGCACATTAAAAAGTTCTACTGATGTTTTTAAAGGCATTAAACTAACAACATTTTTACATCTATTTTAAAAACATATTTAAGTAAATATGACAATGATAAAATAATGCTTTAAGTATTAAGTAAGATTAAATTTTAAAAATGACAAAAATAATTACCTTGGACAATCCATTAGTTATGATTTTATCAGAATTATTTTTCTCCAAAGTATTTAACCTTGAAGTCAATTCTTTAACCTTCAATTCTAGTTTGGTTTGGCTTGTAGATATCACTTGTATCTGGCTATCTAAACCCCCATAATCCCTTGCAGGCAAAAGAGCTTGTTTTGTATGGGGTTTCATCAGCTCTATGGATAAAAATAGTTCTAATGTTAAATAATATGAGAAAGTGTATAATCTTTGTAAATGTTACAAAAACATATATGGTGTTCAACTAACTGATAAAAAGAAAACAAACCTGAAAATTCCTTAACTTTGTCCTTGACGACTCTGATAGTATCTTCTATTTCAGCATCAAAGAGTTTAAGCTTTTTATCATCTTTACATTTTTGTTCTAGTAAAATTTTTCCTTCTTGTATTACCTATAATAAATAAAAAAAATTGAAGTTTGACAGTATTATTATTAAATTTAAAAACTCAACTTCCTAAAAGGTCTGGCTGATTCTAGACAGTTACAATGTGGAAAGGATGCTACCATTTCCAAATACCATTCTGGATTTCTATTCCTTCTCATTCAATTTTTCAATATTCCTGCCTTACTGACACATAATAATTTAACAAAATATGTTAGGTTGAATTCTAATTTTAATCTATCAAGAGAAAATTAGAAGAACTTCTTTTTTACATTACTATAAATCAGTGGCGTAGCGAGGTCGGGTGTCACCCGGTGCGGCACTTAATGGTGTCACCCCCTCAGAGGTGTAGCGACTCTTCCCGGGTACAAACTTTCAATTTTCGATTTGCATCCCCCTTCGGACTTTCGATTTGCACCCCCCCCCTCTCAAGTTTTTCTCTATATATTTTACTATTTTTTGCCTTGGTGTCAGCCCCCTAAATGGTGTAACCCGGTGTGGTCCGCACCCCCCTCGCTACGCCTCTGCTATAAATGCAAACTACTTTCATCCTCAATGATTTATACAAGACTTCTTTCCTCTCCAATAACCCAGGCAAGACTTGAACCTATATCCATACCAGTTGAGGACCATTGTCAATGACATTTCACAACAGATATTCTCTATTACCCTTAAAATATGACAAAATTCACTTGATAATAACATACACTCTCATACCCTTACAATTGGATACATTCACTTGACTATAGTGTTGAACTCAACCTATGAGAAGGCTAATGCTAAATGCAACTGTTTCTACAGAACATTTAAAGAGATAATCTTTATATTTTTCACTAATGTTTGATATTTTTGATACCTCAACACCCATTTTCTAGAAAAGTATTTTAATTTTTTTCCCTGTACAGACCAACCATAAATTTTATAGAAACCAGTAACACTAACAGTAACACTAACAGTACCACTAAAAGTACCACTAACAGTACCACTAACAGTACCACTAACAGTACCACTAACAGTAACACTAACCTTTGCGGTGTATGAAGTTATAGACCTGTGTAGGTTCACCTCATACAGTTCCAGACACTTGAGCCTCAGGGAAATCAGCTCTTCACCCATGGTTCTCCAAACTAGGGCTAAAGACAGACCCAAACACAATGTTTTATAAAACATCAACAACAATTATTATGTTAGTGACATATATTTCTAGCCTGATTACTCAATGACTATACTCTCTATCATAGAGTAAGCTTGACATCATTTATGGAGGACCCTCTAGACCAGGGGTCTCCAAACTACGGCCCGCGAAGTCCTCTCATCCGGCCCGCGGAGATTTTTTTGTCCAAGGAAAAATCGTTTGTTGTGATGGCTGAGGAACTTTGCCCAGAAAAATCAAAATCACACCTGGAAGAAACTGGCCCCCAAACTGAAATTTGATAGTTAATGCGGCCCTCGGACTTAAAAGTTTGGAGACCCCTGCTCTAGACGTTTAAAAATAAAGCTGGAGTGATCTTCCCCAAACATTCTAATATATTCTTAAATAATAGTATGGGGGGGGGGGGGGGGGAGGCACTTTCAAGACAATAACAGTAGCAAAGTCACTTGTCTGAGTAAGCTTCTGCCCCCTATAGAAGACTGGCCAGTAGAAGACGCAAAGACCTTAAAAAAGCTAAAAATTGGCTCAAATGCCACTATAAAGTTTAAACTTTAAAGGAAAAAGTAGGGAGGTGTAAAACAGCAAAATCTCAAATTCTTATTAACCGTCTCATTAAGCTTAATTAAAAAATTTTGTGCACCATTACAACACTGAATACTTGGGCCTAAATTCTTAAAAATTAGGCCCCTACTTACTACTTTAACTTTTAGTAATACTTTACTTTTAACACTTTACTACTAGGCTAGGCTTAGTCACTCACTCTTCACTCTACGTTTTTATTTATTAAATAAAAATAAATATATTAAAATAATTAACTAGGCCCTAATGAACTAAATACAATTTATAGTATAATAAACTATAGGCCTACTATAGGCCTAATTATTAAATTAATGCCTCAATGCCTAATACTAATAATTTCAAAATTTGATTAGGCCTAATTAATAATTTGGGTAATCTATCATTTTAGGTACGTAAAATCGCCCACGACGGGCGATTTTACGTAAAACGATAGGATAGATTACCATAATTTCAATTTATAATTTGGTAATATATCGTTTTAGGTACATAAAATCGACCATGACTAGTAATGTGAAAAACAGGTGACTCTTTTAAATTTTAATAATTATTTCACATTTTGAGGAGGATTTGTGTTTTGAAAAATACAAAAATGTTTCCTTGTCTCATTTATTGACATTTATGTACCTGTTTTTAAACAATTGAATTAAAACTTTTCAGTAATAAATGAAGACTAGCGATGTTTACAACAGATGCAACCATGCTCATTTACTATTATAACTATATTATAGTAGCCATCTTGTTTATTTTTTTATTGTAAACTTATAGCGCAAGATTCAGGGGAAGCCACTCTAACTTACAGATGGCCGCTTTTATATAGCAAATCCTGCTGTTTAAATATAATTTCTTGTCTATATTGATATAAAATAGGCTATATTTAATTATTTAGCCATTGATTTAGGTTTATTATTCATTTATCTATCTATAATCTATAGGCCTAATATTTGACACAAATATATCACAATATTTAATATTCAATATACATATAATGGTCTAGGCCTACTTCTATAATTAAAGCCTTGACAATGAGTTAACTTTTTTGTACATTACTAGCCGCGGGCGATTTTACATAGATTCTAGATCTAGACTACCTCTAAACATAAAACGAAAGATTACCTAGTAGATCTAAATCTAATACCTAGATCTAGATTCTAGTCTATAATTTTGATTTTTGTAAGCTTCACTTACTGAGTACTGACTGACACTTACAAAAACTAAAAACAAGTCTTGCAACTTAAAAAGTAACTGTACTTTGTAAATCTAGCTCTCTGGTCTAGATTAGTAGATTAAGTGGAATACTTAATTACATACAATTATTAATTAGGCAATAAATCTACATTTAAAAGCGATTCGGGCTTAGACCTAGATCTAGATCTACCAAGTAACAACAAATTAAAGTCAAATTTGGATCAGCTGATTTCTCAGTGAACTTGTCTGTTTCCCGGCAAACATTTTAGGCAGTACATTTTAAAATTCGCTTTTATATGAAATACATTTTCCCCATACAGATCTTGGACTAGACATTTAATAAATTACATTTACATAGGACCTATGTAATCGAGATCTAGGGCAGTGGTTCTTAACCCGGCCAGGTAAGATGACACATCATATAAAAATATCATTTTTTACCGTGCGATAATTACTTTAAAGATGATAGTATAAAACTAATTAAAATTTTACATGCACATTTCCAACATACATTGGAGGCATGCCTTCTATTTAATACGCAATTTGAATCCGAATTAAAATTATCTATTTTTTTTAAATTTGGACTCGGCATAGTACTGAACACAATTTCCTTTCACATGCCAGGTCGCAGAAATAGGTGAACTCTACTTCGCTAGCCCAATAAACCAATTAATTATAGATTTAGATGAAAAAAAAAAGTTTATGGTCAAAGGTATGTAACAATGAAAATCCTATTCATCTTTAAAAATTGCAGAGTTGTATACCTTAGTATGACATTTTTTTTTGGTATAAAATAGCCGTTTACGGTCAAAGGCACGTAACAAAGAAAATCCTGACTATCTGCAAAATATGCAGAGTTGTCTACCCTGAAAATAATAGATATACTATTTCAATGTAGAATCATTTTTCTTTTATGGTCAAAGGGATGTAACACAGAAAAACCTTAATACTTTTAAGACAAGCAGTTACCTACCCAACAAAAAAAAAATCTACATATCTACGTTAAAAAATACGTATCTTCAAAAGTTGCAGTTACGTATCGTATAAAGAAATAACATTAATAATAATAATAATAATAATAATAATAATAATAATAATAATAATAATAATAATAATAATAATAATAATAATAATAATAATAATAATAATAATGATAATGATAATGATAATAATAATAATAATAATAATAATAATAATAATAATAATAATAATAATAATAATAATAATTTTAATAATAAATATAATAAAAATAGTTTTAATAACAATAACTACAGCAATAATGATATGGCTATTTATATTTTGCTTGCTTTA